TGAAGGCACTTGATGACAGTGTATCCAGATTTATATTTTAAGGTTTTCATGCTTATTCTATTGTCCAAGATCCTGCATTTATAGAACTTATGAAAAAAGCTGAACCTAGGTATACTGTTCCATCGAGGAAATATTTTTCTCAGTATCATATTCCGAACGCTTATGAAAAAGCTGTTGGTCATATCAACAGTATCATTGATAATGAATGCAAACGTGTAAGATCCTTGTCATTTGCAACAGATGGATGGACTTCTCATTCAAACGAAAGTTACATTTCTTTAACAGTCCATTATGTCACAGAAGAATGGAAACTTCGTCACATTACACTAAATCTCGAATATTTCAAAGGTCAACATACTGCAAAAAACCTAAATAATCTTATAGTAAGACTAATTGAAAAATGGTCATTTTGTAAACATATACCTATGTATTTTGTTACAGACAATGCACCTAACCTTGTAGCAGCAATAGGAAAAGTTCCTGATGGATATACCTGGAAACATTTAAGATGTGTAGCGCACTCATTGCAACTTGCAATAGCTGATGCCAAAAAATGTACACCTAACTTAGAAGCTCTTTTAATAGCTTGTAGGTCCATTGTTGGCCATTATAAGCGAAGTTCAACGGCAAAGGCAAGACTTTTTGAACTTCAAAAAAAAGAAAATATGTCTCCACCGTTGATGCTAATCCAAGATGTTAAGACTCGTTGGAACTCTGAATATTTAATGCTACATCGGATTTACGAATTAAAAATATTTATTTCTGATGATATGATAGAGTCTAATAGTAAAATTAATAACTTAACAAGGGATTAATATTCAACAATTGAACGTTTGTTGTGCTTACTAAAACCGTTATACAAGGCCACAAATGATTTATGTAGCTCTTTATTCCCCACAGTAGCGAGCATTATGTTTTATTTCCATTATATTATTGAAACCTTAAGAGATCTACAGCAAAATAACTTAAACTTAAAGGTTCTCACATTTGCAGCTAAAGTAACCATTGGTATAACTAAACATTTTCCCTTGTTCAAAGAAAATATAACTTTATTATTTTGTATGGTAGTTGATCCACGACTTATAGCTTCTTTTTTAAATGAACATCAGATTGAAAATTTGAAAACCGCTATGAAAAGTGAAATTATTAAGCATCAGTTACCATTAGAACCAGTTCATATAAATACTATTCCTGAAGTAAATACTGATGAAAATGATATGTGATTAATGGTTGAAGAATGGAGTACAGAAACACAAAATCAAATAAATAATGAAAATAACAATTTAATAATTGAAAATTATATTCAAGATCCCAAGGAACCGAAAAAAACAAATAGTTTTTAATTTTGGAAGGATGTGGGTCAAATAAAATACCCATATATTAAATGGCTTGCTCTTCAATACCTAGCAATACCAGCTACTCAAGTTTCCAGTGAAAGATTATTTTCATCGGCTGGCCAAATTGTATCAGATAGAAGAACATTGTTATTACCTGAGTATGTTGAACAATTATTAGTTTTAAAAGATTATTATACATTTGTATTGGAAATGAAAGACATAGAAGGTGACTCAAAACAAAATGTGGAATGATTAAAATCATACTCAATAATCAAAAATACTCTATCCTCCCATTATATTTATATATACATAAATATTAAGGATTTTTTTAATTGTTGATACTGTTTTACTTGGTTTGATCAACATTATAGTTGTTAGTTAATAGTTTCAAGTTTTTCAATATGTTAACCCAATTTTTTTCACTTGTATTTAGTATTTACTATTTAGTAACTAGTACTTACTATAATTTATAACTAAGTATTATATTTTGTTATTTCTTTTATGGGTTTAATTTTTGTTTTGTTATAGGCACTTAAGTGACTTGACTTAAGTATTTATTTTTTTATGTAGTTTGTGCTTAAACTTTTAAATATTTTTTACTTTGTAGTTACTAGTTTAAGATGATAAAGATATAAGATAATTAATTAATAAATAAAGGCAATTCTTGTTTAATTTAAATAATTATTGCATTTTTTTCTATACCTATTAGCTATAACCTACTAAATAGTAAATATTAAATAATAAACTAATATGGTAGTATAGAAATTACTTGCAGCATGTATATGGAAGATCATCGCTTGAGAATGGCCGATGTGGCTGTTTTTTTTTTTTTGTTGTGTTTATAATTGTTAGGGCAAGATTTTTATGAAAGATTGAAAAATTTAAAATCATTTACGAGCATAATTAAAAATACTTCAGCAATTCCCAGTATTCGACCAATTTCAAATTATGTTATGTCTTTGAGTACTCGACTTTTTTTAGTACTAGATATTTGAACTTTACTCGACTCGAAATTATTGAAACTCGACGCGACTCGGCAATTATCGAGTACTCGACTTTTTTTTTAGAACCCGACCTTTTTCAAGTACTCGACATTTGAGCTCGACTCGACTCGAAATAATTGAAACTCGACTCGACTCGACTCGACATTCAAAAACGATACTCGTTCAACTCTA